GCCAGCTCACAGCACTCCCAGGGAGACAAAAAAAAGTGCTTCCATAGTGTAATATTGTAAATGAATCAAATTTATTGTAAAGACAAATGTGCACTTACATGGGAACAGATCAAACAAGGCATCAATCACATGCTGATATGGGTGTACTGGGTGTACCAATATGACTCAGTTCGTGTCAGAAATGACGTCACCACATTCCGCTCTCCGACCCGGAGACGTTCTTTAGTATAAAACAATAGCTAAACAAAGAACGCATACATGTAAATCTAAAGTTCAATCCCTAAAGGGGGCAAGTAGAGGGAGGGAAGGGCCTTAGTAGTGCTCAGGCAGGCATGCCTGAGGACGTCGGGCCCTCCAGCCACCCTCGTAAAGTCTGTTTCTGATTGTTTGGTCAGAGACCTTCACACCAGTGGCCTGCTGAAGGTAATTTTGTAGGGCTCTGGCAGTGTTCATCCTGTTCCTCCTTGGACAAAAGTGCAGATACCGGTCCTGCTGATGGGTTAAGGACCTTCTACTGCCCTGTCCAGCTCTCCTAGAGTAACCACCTGTCTCCTGGAATCTCCTCCATGCTCTTGAGACTGTGCTGGGAGACACAGCAAACCGTCTGGCAATGACACGTATTGATGTGCCATCCTAGAGGAGTTGGACTGCCTGTGCAACCTCTGTAGGGTCCAGGTATCGCCTCATGCTACAGGTAGTGACAGTGACCCTAGCCAAATGAAAAACTAGTGAAAAACAGTCAGAAAAGATGAGTAGGGGAAAATGTCAGTGGCCTCCACCTGTAAAACCATTCCTGTTTTGGGGATCGTCTCATTGTTGCCCATCTAGTGCACCTGTTGTTAATTTCATTAACACCAAAGCAGCTGAAACTGATGAACAACCCCCTCTGCTACTTAACTGACCAGATCAATATCCCAGGAGTTTAATCGACATGATGCTATACTCTGATTAAAAAGTGCTCCTTTAATTTTTTTTTGAGCAGTGTTGTTTCAGACCTGAAACAGAAATGTCTTGTCCCTGAGGAGGAGATCCCTGAGGAGACTGCCCCCCCAGGCCAGCTGCCATGTGTTTGTCCCCCCAGGCCAGCTGCCATGTGTTTTCTGATCATTGTGGATCTAGTCTGGTGTCATAGGGAGAAAGTGTCTGGAGGGCCTGAGGGGGCTTGTCGTCTGTGGATCTAGTCTGGTGTCACAGGGAGAAAGTGTCTGGAGGGCCTGAGGGGGCTTGTCGACTATGGATCTAGTCTGGTGTCACAGGGAGAAAGTGTCTGGAGGGCCTGAGGGGGCCTGTCGTCTGTGGATCTAGTCTGGTGTCACAGGGAGAAAGTGTCTGGAGGGCCTGAGGGGGCTTGTCGTCTGTGGATCTAGTCTGGTGTCACAGGGAGAAAGTGTCTGGGGGGCCTGAGGGGGCTTGTCGTCTGTGGATCTAGTCTGGTGTCACAGGGAGAAAGTGTCTGGAGAGCCTGAGGGTGCCTGTCATCTGTGGATCTATTCTGGTGTGACAGGGAGATAGTGTCTGGAGAGCCTGTCGTCTGTGGATCTAGTCTGGGTCACAGGGAGATAGTGTCTGGAGAGCCTGAGGGAGCTTGTCATCTGTGGATCTGGTCTGGTGTCACAGGGAGAAAGTGCCTGGAGAGCCTGAGGGGGCTTGTCGTCTGTGGATCTAGTCTGGTGTCACAGGGAGAAAGTGTCTGGAGGGCCTGAGGGGGCTTGTTGTCTGTGGATCTAGTCTGGTGTCACAGGGAGAAAGTGTCTGGAGGGCATTGGAAGGAGGCAGACACTTGTGAGCACAGACAGTTGTGAGTGATCCTAGAGGCTGCTTGCTGTTGACCCCCCCCCCCCCTCCCAGTTTTAGAGAGTTAGCTGTGTGTTTAAAGGGGACATAGGGGTTGATTTACTAAAGGCAAATAGACTGTTTTTTTCTTTTTTCTGCATGTGATTGGGAATTCTTTGCAAAGTGAAGATGTACCTCATTTATTAAGCTCTCGAGCAACTGCAGGTCTATTTGCCTTTAGTAAATCAACCCCATAGTGTCCAGTGTCCCGAAGAGCTTAGCCTATTTAATTCCTGGTGAAAGGACTTTGCTTGGAGCTACTACTACAACATTTAGTCCATTCTTTTAAATCCAAAGACTGGGTTTATAGTTCTACAGAAGAAAGCGTCCTCCTATTTGTACACAGTTTTGGAGTATACCACTCAATTCCCTATCCCCATCCAAGTTATTCAAAAAGAAAAACACCAAAAAGAATACCCCTGGACTGTTCATTGAGTGACTGTGACCATGTGCCTGACTACGGGGAAACGGACCCTGGGCATCTTTCTAGCGGCTCCTATGGGGGTAACGCTACACATAACAATCTTTTATAGATTCTTTTAGATTCTTTTCACATGGACTCCTGAAGAAGATAGTGAGTTTTTGAAATGCATTGAACTCTCATATGGACTTGTCCATATGAGAACTATTTATTTTAATTTCTGTATAATAAAACTGGAAACTTTTTATTGTATGATTCTTGTGTTACCATTATCTTGCAATATGCCCTCATAAGTCCTTCTTGCGTAGAGTCAACTGAGCATGTATAGCGTAAACTCAGGCATCTTCCCCCCCAACCAAGAAGCCCTCCCTTGTGTGTCTGTGCTCAAGTACATGCTGGTGGATGTCATTTTTTGCATATGGCTGTATGCTATACTTGTGTTTATGATAGCATCAGTGTGAACCTAACTACAACCATTCATGCCTATGGGCTGTATACAACACCTGGGATTCTTGGGTGGGGGCAAATCTCCAGATTTTACATTGCAGGGGCTTAGCCATTCGTGGGCATGAACCCTTAAAAAGAGATCTGTCTTCCTCACAGGGTGTCTTCCTGTGAAATGTCAATAATTGGGGGAGATCATGCAGTGTGTTGAGATGATGCAGAATTACATGCTGTGTATAGAGTTAACACTGGGGTCTACACAGATGAGGAATGTATTTTGTGAAATCTGCTGAGTGTTTATGAATTAATATGGATTTTTTGTTTGGAAACTCCCTCTTGTTTTGTGATCCTTGATAAGGGGCCATAGTTCTGTAGCGCTCAACCCCCGAAGGAGCCGCTGGGATTAAGGGGCACTTCTGTCCTTACTTCAGTGATGAACCATATATATTGGATCCACAGCACACCAGTACACCTTGTGGGAAGTTTTATAACAGGTTTAATAACACAGGTAAACCTCTGCAAATAGACTGCAAATTAACTTGGAAAATCGCAGTTAAATGCACTGAATACACAAACCTTCTAGAATTGGCACAATCACATCAATAAACACAATATTCATGTATATACGTATATACCAGTGTAGCTATAGATCAGAATTAACCCCCTGCAACTACAGCAACTACCTCTGCTGTTCTGGAAACAATGTCCGTGTACTTCAACAGTAGGGCTGCAGACTAGCTCCCACATGTCCTCTGCAAAGGCACACATGGCTCCCCTCCCCCTCCTCCTTGCAAAGCCTCCTGGTCCTGTAGTCCTGTGCAGTATAAAGTTACATTGTCTGCCTCTGTGATGAAACTGCATCTCCCACAAACACTCCAGTACTGCTGAGAGCTGAGCCAATCAAACCCTTTCTGGCAACATGCAGTCTTAAAAGGGAAACAGTTCTTTAAAAGGGAAACAGCAATGGCCCCGCTACAGTTCTACTTTAATTTTTCCACAATGCTTCTAGATTCAGAGGTGAATGAGGGCTGGTTTTAAGCGCTTCTACTGCCTGTTCAAAATATGTAAATACCTTAGTGTGCATAATCCGGACACAGGTTCCCTTTAACCCCTTTCTGACTGCCCCGATGTCCCTTCTTTCTGAATGCCTGGGGGGGTGGGAAAGATCAGCCAACCATGTAACCACTGTGATTGGCTGTCACATGAATAGGAGCAGGCTCTGCTGGCTACTGATCATTAGTGGGGACCAAGAACTGTCTTTTACAGCTCGTTCTCTGTGCTGGGAGTGCACAGTAATACTGGCCACCCAGCAATGCATATGTGCGGTGAGTGGATGTTAAAGCCCACCGTTGTGTTCTGATCAAAACGCTGCATGCTAAGCCACGCACAATGTATTCTGTGTGCTTTTCTTTTGAAGCTTGTCATTACTTGGCATTATGTCTTTTAACTGCTATAGGGCAGCAGGGCTGCGCAAAATCACGTATATATTTCCTGGGTAGGGCACAAGCGCGGCATGTCAATCACCGGGTCCCTGCCAGAGATTCCCCACCGGCACCCAACAGTCGCCCTGCAAAGTTGACAGGGGAGAGGCCTGTGTGAAAACAACACAGGTCTTTCTCCTGCAAGCAAGGACATGCTGTTTTGTATTTCTATGCACAGCAGAGAAATACAAAACAACATGTCTCCCTAGTAAAACAGCACACAGCACACTGTTAACCCTTTGATTGCCCCAAAGTCAACCCCTTCTTGCCCAGTGCCATTTGTACAGTGTCAGTGCTTTTTTGTTAGCACTGATCTCTGTATTAGTGTAATTGGGATGTCAGTGGCAGTTAGTCAGTTCCCACCCAGTGTTAAAATGTCTGACGCAGTCCTGCTATAAGTCGCTAATTGCCGCCATTACTAGTATAAAAAAAATAAAAATTCCAGTATAAACTGTATACCACCATTTGTAGATGCTACAAATGTAAATCAATTAATTTACACATATAGGGATTTTTTTTGTAGCAAAGCCATGTAGCAGAATACATTTTGATCTAAATTTATGATGAAATTTGATTTTTAAAGAATTGTACACCTTATTCTTTTGTGTCAATGATCTTGCTTTTGACTGTTTCTTTGTTGTTGTGCTGTCTATAATAAAATTCATTGTAAAAGAAACTTACCGTATTTTTCGCTCCATAAGACGCACTTTTTTCCCCCAAAAAAAGGGGGGAAAATGTCAGTGCGTCTTATGGAGCGAATATAAAGCGGCCGGTCCGGTATTTCTGCCGCCACCATGTCAGAATACCGGGCCGGCCGCTCAGCTGTTGTCTCCTGCAGGGCCTTACCTGTTCCTCGCTCCAGCGCTGCACAGTCTTCCCGCGCTGGCTTCTGTGACAGCCGGGTGCCCACTGCGCATGCGCTTCGCTTTGCGAATGGTCATCGCAGTCTCTGGTCATCTGTACTGTGTCCGCAGTCTCTGGTCATCTCCTGTACTGTGTCCGCAGTCTCTGGTCATGGTCATCTCTCTGTACTGTGTCCGCAGTCTCTGGTCATCTCCTGTACTGTGTCCGCAGTCTCTGGTCATCTCCTGTACTGTCCGCAGTCTCTGGTCATCTCCTGTACTGTGTCCGCAGTCTCTGGTCATCTCCTGTACTGTGTCCGCAGTCTCTGGTCATCTCCTGTACTGTGTCCGCAGTCTCTGGTCATCTCCTGTACTATGTCCGCAGTCTCTGATCATCTCCTGTACTATGTCCGCAGTCTCTGGTCATCTCCTGTACTATGTCCGCAGTCTCTCTGGTCATCTCCTGTACTATGTCCTCCTGCAGTCCGCAGTCTCTGGTCATCTCCTGTACTGTGTCCGCAGTCTATCCGCAGTCTCTGGCCATCTCCTGTACTATATCTGCAGTCTCTGGTCATCCCCTGTACTGTGTCCTCAGTCTCTGGTCATCTCCTGTACTATGTCTGCAGTCTCTGGTCATCTCCTGTACTATGTCCGCAGTCTCTGGTCATCTCCTGTACTGTGTCCGCAGTCTCCGGTCATCTCCTGTACTATGTCTGCAGTCCATTGGTTCAGAATTTTTTTCCCTGTTTTTCGCCTCTAAAACCTAGGTGCGTCTTATGGTCAGGTGCGTCTTATGGAGCGAAAAATACGGTAATTAAATGCCAATGTGTCATTTTAATAAAGTTGATTTAAAAATAGTGACCGGTGTGATGCTCTGTGATCAGCTGGTGCGAAGGTACCCTAAATAAATAGATAGTTTTATTTAACGTCTGTGATAGCCATACTCTCCAGATGTTTCAGGGGTTTTTTTTTTCACATTTATTTCTACTTTTCTTTTTTTATATATTTTGTAGAGGCGTTGCAGGTGTAATCTGAGAAAATCTATTTAATCTTCTATCAGTGATCATAAAAATGATGCATGAAAATCTCCCCTTTTGTCGGGTGTCTCCAATAACTTTGAGGCGGCAGCTGTGACTGTTTGTGGACTGTGACAAAACTGCGAAGCAGTCGGGCGATATTAAAACACCTGTCAGATTATCTGCATGAGCTCAAAATGACTGTAAAACATGAAATTACAATCATTTATTTCATAAATCAATACCATCTGTGCTCATTGTTCACTGTACACACAGATCAGCTGGTTAGCGCTGTATATTGCTTACACTCAGAAATAGTGTTTGCTCTAAGAAATATATAATACAAATCATATTGTGTAAAATTACAGTCCGGTCTACTATTTTGAATGAGAGCTTTTTTTCCTAAGAAACAGAAACATTGGTTAAATTGATTTTAATTCAAGGGAAATACAATGTATTAGGGGTCGGATTTACAGTGCCTTGAAAAAGTATTCATACCCCTTGAAATTTTCCACATTTTGTCATGTTACAACCAAAAAAGGTAACTGTATTTTATTGGGATTTTATGTGATAGACCGACACAGAGTGGCACTTAATTGTGAAGCGGAAGGAAAATGATAAATGTTTTTCAAAATTGTTTACAAATAAATATCTGAAAAGTGTGGCATGCATTTGTATTCAGCCCCCTTTACTCTGATACCCCTAACTAAAATCTAGTGGAACAAATTGCCTTCAGAAGTCACCAAATAGGTATAGAGTCCACCTGTGTGTAATTTTAGTCTCAGTATAAATACAGCTGTTCTGTAAGGTTTGTTACATAGTTACATAGTTGCATAGTTAGTCTGGCTGAAAAAAGACAAAAGTCCATCCAGTTCAACCATAGAAAAAAGTAAAAAAGTTATAATCCTATACCCACAGTTGATCCAGAGGAAGGCAAAAAAACCAGCACAGCATGATCTAATTTGCTCTTGCAGGAGAAAAAATTCCTTCCTTATCCCCCTAGTGTCAATCGGATATTCCCTGGATCAACTTTACCTATAAATGTTAGTATCCAGTTATATTCTGTGTATCCAAGAAAGAATCCAGGAATTTTTTAGAGCAATCCACTAAGCTGTCCAGAACCAACTCTTGAGGGAGTCTATTCCACATTTCACAGCTCTTACTGTGAAGAATCCTTTCCGTGTTTGGAGATTAAATCTCTTTTCCTCCAGACGTAAAGAGTGCCCCCTTGTCCTCTGTGATGACCTCAGGGTGAATAACTCTACACCGAGTTCACTATATGAACCACTGATGTATTTATACATGGAGATCATATCCCCCTTATGTATTATACATGGAGATCATATCCCCCCTTATGTATTATACATGGAGATCATATCCCCCTTATGTATTATACATGGTGATCATATCCCCCCTTATGTATTATACATGGAGATCATATCCCCCCTTATGTATTATACATGGAGATCATATCCCCCCTTATGTATTATACATGGTAATCATATCCCCCCTTAATCTCCTCCTCTCAAGAGAGAATAAATTCAGTTCCTCTAATCTTTCCTCATAGCTGAGCTCCTCCATGCCTCTTATCAGTTTGGTTGCCCTTCTCTGTACTTTCTCCAGTTCCCCAATGTTCTTTTTGTGAATTGGTGCCCAAAATTGAACTGCATATTCCAGATCAGGTCTTACTAATGATTTGTACCGGGGGAAATGATCTCTCTCTCTGGAGTCTATACCTCTTATAATATGAGAGAGGATTTTGCTCGCTTTAGAACCCGCAGCTTGGCATTGCATGCCATTATTAAGCTTGTGATCTACCAGAACTCCCAGATCCTTCTCCACCATTGATTCCCCCCAGTTGTACCCCCCCCCTAGTATGTATGATGCATGCATATTCTTAGCCCCCAAGTGCAGAACCTTACATTTATCAACATTAAACCTCATTAGCCATATAGTTGCCCAATTACACAGAGCATTGAGGTCGGCTTGTAAATTGGAGACATCCTGTAAGGACGTTATTCCACTGCACAGCTTGGTGTCATCTGCAAAGACTGAAATGGGATTTATAATTTCAGACCCGATATCGTTTATAAATATATTAAAAAGTAAGGGTCCCAACACTGAACCCTGGGGTACACCACTGATGACCCCAGACCATTCAGAGTATGAATCATTAACCACTACTCTTTGAATACGATCTTTTAGCCAATTTCCTATGCATTTACATACGGATTTTTCCAAGCCTGTAGACTTTACCTTACACATTAGCCATGTGTGGGGAACTGTGTCAAACATTTTGGCAAAATCTAAGTATACCACGTCCACCGCCACCCCTCTGTCCAAGTATACCACGTCCACCGCCACCCCTCTGTCCAAGTCTACCACGTCTACCGCCACCCCTCTATCCAAGTATACCACGTCCACCGCCACCCCTCTGTCCAAGTATACCACGTCCACCGCCACCCCTCTATCCAAGTATACCACGTCCACCGCCACCCCTCTATCCAAGTATACCACATCCACCGCCACCCCCTCTGTCCAAGTATACCACGTCCACCACCACTCCTCTGTCCAAGGTTTTTCTCACCTCCTCATAAAAAGAAATCAGATTTGTTCGACAACTTCTGTCTTTTATGAATCCATGCTGTCAGTTGCTTAAAATATATTTTTCCAGCAAGAACTCATCTATTTGGTTTTTTATTAAACTCTCCAGTATCTTCCCAACTATAGAAGTTAAACTAACAGGTCTATTATTACTTGACAAAGATTTTGACCCCTTTTTAAATATAGGCACCACATTGGGCTTACACCAATCCAGTGGTACTATGCCAGTCATTAAAAAGAAGAACATTAGTGAACAAACAGCATCATGAAGGCCAAGGAACACACCATACAGGTCAGGGATAAAGTTGTGGAGAAGTTTAAAGCAGGGTTAGGTTATAAAAAAATATCCCAAGCTACGAATATCTCATGGAGCACTGTTCAATCCATCATCCGAAAATGGAAAGAGTATGGCACAACTGCAAACCTACCAAGACATGGCCGTCCACCTAAACTGACAGGCTGGGCAAGGAGAGCATTAATTAGAGAAGCTGCCAAGAGGCCCATGGTAACTCTGGAGGAGCTACAGAGATCCACAGCTCAGGTGGGAGAATCTGTCCACAGGACAATTATTAGTCGTGCACTCCACAAATCTGACCTTTATGGAAGAGTGGCAAGAAGAAAGCCATTGTTGAAAGAAAGCCATAGGAAGTCCGTTTGCAGTTTCCGAGAAGCCATGTGGGGGATACAGCAAACATGTGGAAGAAGGTGCTCTGGTTGGATGAGACCAAAATGGAACTTTTTGGCCTAAAATCAAAACACTATGTGTGGCGGAAAACTAACACTGCACATCACCCTAAACACACCATCCCCACCGTGAAACATGGTGGTGGCAGCATCATATTGTGAGGATACTTTTCTTCAGCAGGGACAGGGAAGCTGGTCAAAGTTGATGGGAAGTTGGATGGAACCAAATACAGGGCAATCTTAGATGAAAACCTGTTACAATCTGCAAAAAACTTGAGACTGGGGCGGAGGTTCACCTTCCAGCAGGACAACGACCCTAAACATCCAGCCAGAGCTACAATGGAATGGTTTGGATCAAAGCATATTCATGTGTTAGAATGGTCCACTCAAAGTCCAGACCTAAATCCAATTAAGAATCTGTGGCAAGACTTGAAAATTGCTGTTCACAGACGCTCTCCATCCAATCTGACAGAGCTTGAGCTATTTTGCAAAGAAGAATGGGCAAAAATGTCCCTCTCTAGATGTGCAAAGCTGGTAGAGGCATCCCCAAAAAGACTTGCTGCTGGAATTGCAGCGAAAGGTGGTTCTACAAAGTTGACTCAGGAGGGCTGAATACAAATGCACACCCCACATTTCAGATATTTGTAAAAACATGTCTGTGAATATATTAAAAAGAAAAAACTGAAATATCACATGTACCTAAAGCGGGGTTCCACCCAAAAGTGGAAGCTCCGCTTATCTGCCTCCAGTTGTTTGCCCTCCCGGAGCCCACTGGGAAACTAAACAGGTCCCAGAGCACTGCGTCCCATTCATAAAGTGCAGCGTGCTTCCTGCATGTGCAGTAGGAAACCGATTGTGAAGCTGCAAGGCTTCACTGTCAGTTTCCCCTAGTTAGGATGGCAGCATCAGCACCCAACAGCTAATTGAAGAATCGGCTCGGGTTGAAGACACTGCTGGATGCCCGGACAGGTAAGTGCCCTAATATTAAAAGTCAGCAGCTACAGTAGTTGTAGCTGTTGACTTTTAAATTTTTTTTTGGGGGGGGGGCTGGGGGTGGAACTTTACTTTAAGTATTCAGACGCTTTACTTGGTACTTTGTTGAAACACCTTTGAGTCGTTTTGGGTATGACTCAACAAGCTTTGCGCATTTGGATTGGGTGATTTCCTGCCACTCTTCTTTGCAAATCCTTTCAAGCTCAGTCAGGTTGGAATTGGACCATTAGTGGATAGCCATTTACAGGTCTCTCCAGAGATTTTCAATAGGATTCAAATCAGGGATCTGGCTGGGCCACTCTAGGACATTCACAGAGCTGTCCCTAAGCTACTCCTGTGTTGTCTTGACTGTGTGCATAGCATCATTGTCATGTTGGAAGGTGAACCTTCGGCCCAGTCTGAGTTCCTGAGAACTCTGGAACAGATTTTCATTGAGGATCTCTGTGTACTTTGCTCCATTCAGTTTTCCCTCAACCCTGACCAATCTCCCAGGCCCTGCTGCTGAAAAAACACTCCTACAGCATGATGCTGCCACCACCGTGGCTGATTTCCTCTAGACATAATGTTTAGAATTGAGGCCAAACAGTTCAATTTTGGTTTCATCAGACCAAAGAATCTTGTTCCTTACAGTCTGAGAGTCCTTCAGGTACTCTTTTACAAACTCCAGAGGAGAGCCTTTCATCTAGCCACTCTGCCATAAAGCCCAGATTGGTGGAGGGCTGCAGTGATGGTTGTCCTGAAACTTTGTTCCATCTACACACAGGATCTCTGGAGCTCAGTCAGAGTTACCATCAGGTTCTTGATCACTTCCCTTACTAAGGCCCTTCTCCCCAGATTGCTCAGTTTGGCCGAGTGACCAGCTCTTGGAAGAGTCCTGGTTGTGTCAATCTTCTTCCATTTGAGAATTATGGAGGCCACTGTGCTCTTGGGAACTTTTTGTGCGGCAGAATTTTTTTCGTAGCCTTCCCCAGATCTGTTCCTTGCAACAGTCCTGTATCTGAGTTTTGCAGACAGTTCTTTTAACCTCATGGCTTTTACTCTGATAAAGTATGCATTGTCAGCTGTGAGGCCTTTTATAGAGAGGTGTGTGCCTTTCCAAATTGTGTCCAATCTATTTAAGTGTTGTTGCAAAGGGTCTGAATACCTATGTAATATTCCAGTTTTTCCTTTTTCGTACATTTACAAATGTATTTAAAATTCTGTTTTTACTTTGTCATTGTGGGTCACTGAGTGTAGATTAATGAGAAAAAAAAATAAATTTGAACAACTGCAGGTTCAGGCTGCAACATAACAAAATTGAAAAAAGTGATGAGGCTCTGAATACCTTAAGAATGCACTGTATATTCAGTATAATTTCCCAATACATATACACTTGTAGCAACCTCCTAGTAAGGTTTCTATAATATTAGGCAAATTTAGTTCTTTTTGGCTCCTCTATAGTCAGTGGAGCAGTTGTTGATTGGGCATTCAGTTTTTCACAGGCTGCAGGTGTGATTGTTTCCCCTTTATTATACAGGACTGTAGAATCCTAGTGGGTTGGAAAGTCAAATAAGCAGTCTGAATATTTATGGGACTTCAGCCTATCCCTGAGGAGGTGTGTCTAGAATGTGGTTGAAGAGCACATAAATAGTCTGAGGCTCAGAGCAGCCTGATAGTAAGTTCTGGGCCTAAGTCCTAGGTCTAGTCCTGTAGGGGGAGTCTCCAGCCTGAGGAGCTTTGACCCTCTGACCAGATTGCTGGAGTTTGCGGCATGTTCATCAAGGTCCCAGCTATGGCATAGCTGTGGGGAGTATTCCTAAAACCTTTTCTGGAGCTCATTAAGGGATTTCACCTAATTGACCTGGTCAGGAGAGTTCACTGAAGTGTCCCTGGTGGAAGATGGAATGGGAACTGTGGATACTGGAAGGAGGCATCTAATGATCCTATGACATTGTCAGTACTGACCTGAACTCAGGGTCCTAATGGCTGAATGTTACTTTCCTTTGGGTGGAATTGCTTTTAGAAGGGCTCAGTTCTGACCACCTTTCTTTGCTGCTGTTAAAAGACTATTCAGGAAGACATAGCAAAGTGAAGTGTTCTCCTGCTATTATTCAGTATTTCTGGGGTATCCCATATCACCCTACACCTTCTCCAAGTTCTTCAGTAATAAATTTATAAAAAGACATTCGCTAGACTGATTAGTGAGCCAAAGTAAATGAACTATTCCTGTGTGCCTTGTTACCTCTGCACTTATCTTGGGAAAGGACCAGTTAAATTACAGCGACTCCTCCAGGGGTAGCACTACACACCTCCCCACATTTTGTCTCTTTACAAAGCTGGAAGCTCAGATAAATACTGTACCTGTTGGTCTACCAGAAATCCAGTGAGTTCCTAACTCAGCCAGCATTTTTCTGAGATCTCTACAATTGAGCCCAGAGGTGATTGAGATTTGTCAGCGGGAGGAGGTCCCAGGCGGGGCTACATGTTGGTTGCCCTGGAATGATAAAGTTTTACAAGCGTTGATTTTTTTGGTCTGTCCCATCTGTTTTTTTTCTGGATGTATTGGAACTTCAGGATAAAGATGAACCCCTGTTGGGTGCCTGCACACGATCAGCCAAAAGAATGATTCACCCTACAGGATTTTGGAGCAATAAAAAACCTAACTTCCTGTGGTTTACCCTACAGGGTGGTTCACCTTACAGGATTTTGGAGCAATAAAAAACTTTGAAAAAATCTTTCTGTGCTATACTTAAATCCCAAACAATGTTAGCTATTGTGAGGGAAGTGCTAGCTATACTGCAAATGAAGCTCCAAGGCACACACAGATGCACAGACACGGGCCTGAGGGTGCTCGTTTTGCTGTGCCCAGCTATGCGCATAAGTACGCTCACATGCGCATGCTGTCTTGATCATGCTTGAACGCCTCCTGCCCTGACTTTGACTTGTCTCTGGATCCTGCTGTGCCCTCCTGCTCATCTATCTCCTCTGAGGATATTGACCTTGGCCAACACCTTGACCACTATCCTGCCTGCTGTTCATACCTGATCTGACCATCTGTTACTGACCAGGCTCACCTGACCATACATTCTATTTTATCGTTCTATAAAAATATAAAGACTCAGCAAGTGCGTAATAAAAAAGCAGCTATTGCACTAAAAGGAAAACCATATGCCTTCAAGAAATAAATAAGATAATTGTGCAGCGCTAAGAATTATCGAACAGTATAACATAAATAAATCCAGAGGGTGTCCAATTAATAATTCAAATATGTGTATTAAAGGGATTGCTCTGATAATGTGAAAGTTCAAATGGATGTAATCACAGTTCAGA